TCTTGTAATTCACTCCTGAGGATGACGTTGTAACGTCGAAACAATGTAGAGTCGTCAACTTTTTGAAGGCCATAGATAGGCCTAGATAACATGTTTTTAATTGTGTATCAGTTTAACGTTGAATATTATTTATGATTTTAGCTTGAAATTAAACACACTGTTTTTGCTTCCTGAACTTCGTTCCCATAAAAGGGAGGAAATGGAAGGCATAGAGCAAGTTTGTTTTAAGTATGAGGTTAGTGCAAGTTAAAATGTTTTGGTGCAATTGAAATGTTACCTCTACTTGAGGTAAACCCAATTAATTGTTTTGGGTAATTTTGAACTCAGATTTGTTATTTTATTGACAAGTGTATTTTCTAATTTGTTCAAGTAAATGAGCACTTTTTTGTTCTTTGATTTCAGATAAAGGAACTACTTGGTTAGGAAGGTAATGTGCTAAATTTTCTTTGTTTTACAGGATCATTGCTTGGCTTTAAGTTAAGATAGTTTTTTTTTGTAATAAATGATTACTGTTAATATATTTTTGTGTCTTTTAAGTGGTGACACAGAGTCAGATGAAAGGTGGAAGAGTACGGGTATTGTCCAACGCCTTAATAGACGCACAGTTGTAACCAGTAGTGGGTCGGTGTATAAACTCATTGGATCTATGAAGAAAGCTCTTGCTCTGGAAGAAGGTTTGTAAATTAAAAAGTACAAGTTCAAGTGAAGTAGACTTAGCTCTGCAATAATCTAACTCTTTTCTTGTTTAGTCATTCTTGCTCTGTCACCAACCACTGAATTGATTTTGAATATCTTTGACACAATGCATGATCAATCCTTTTTGTTTGATGTATGCAGTTAAACCTACATACACAAGTCTAATTACATATGGTTATGTGTTGCATCCATGACAGGCCATATTCAGTTACATATCACATTATAATTTTAAGTATTTCTAAAGAAAGTAGAAATGTTTTATATACAAAAACGTCTTGAGCATCTTATTAATAGATCTTTAATTCATTATGGTCATTCATTAACCAGAGAAATTGACAGCAAAAACCAACAAAATTGAATTGAAAACATTTCAAGGTTACAGGAAATCTGAGATACAACATTGTAGATGTAGGGAGAATATACATGATGATTCTGATGAGAATCTTGTAGAAAGTAAAGAAGAAGATCAAAATTAAAACTAGCCTTTTAAACATAGAAGTGCTGTGTAGTTCCTTCTTTTACATAATATTTATAAAATTGATAACTTTGCTGATATGATGCACATATTCCTGTTGTTAAAAGAGTAAGTGTTTTATTAGTATTTCCTTCTCATAACACATTACTTGAAGCACCTGTTTGTTTCGTGTGCACAACTGAATTTGCCTGCATGACATACATCAACTTACCTAAACTTCTCCACTTTCCCATCTACCATATGATTTATTGAGCAAGCTCTGCTAGGGAAGCTAAATAATCTCTTTTTTTTCCTGCCATAAGTCAGATTTTTTTAGTTTTCATGCTGTAAAACTCATGACTTCATTTTTTATGTTTGTGAATTCTGAAATCATTGTAAATCCTGATATTAACATTTCAGTTAATAGTAAAACAATTTTGTAACTCCTTCAAATTTTTTGAGGACTTGTTCATACAGTTCTTCTATTGTGCATGAAAATCAGGTAACTTCACAGCTCTCATTTATCGATGTATTAGGGCTGTTAATGCCAAATCATTTGTTAGTATTTTAGTATTCCAGTCATTAGTTCATCTGATGTTTTTTCCCATTGATGAATAAACCTGTTGTTTCTTTTAGGTCTATTCACCTTTTTTTGATTGCTAATCTTGCTTCAGTTTTCTCTCTCTCTCTCTCAAGTATGTAATATCTTAATTCTTAACACACTCGCTATGGGTAGGTTGAAGTGCACACGTCACAACCTTTTAGAGAGTTATATTCAAAATTTAATTAAACTACTTATCGTCATTGTATACAGAGAATCTTGGCATCAATACACAATTAATAAATCAAATTTTAATGTTATGTAAGTTTTAAGTTCTTAATTTTATAAGGTACTATTTAAAAAAATCTTAAATTTCCTTTAGTAGAGAATTGTGACATTTGCTGTGTTGGTCTTTCTTTTTCTCTGATTCATTTACCATCCCTCTGAGAAGTATGGAATTTAATGTAAATTACCCATTACAATATAGATAGTACTAATGCAAAGCATAATTTATATAGCCTTCAATCTTATTTGTTTACAGAATCATAAAGTAGAAAATCATACCCACTTGTCACACCCTTCCTTTCACAAATTGTTTAAGTTCTCTTTGGTGTTTTATGCTATATTATTTATAACCAGTAGAAAACCAAGGTTTGAAACCATCAAATGATGTATTATATTACATTACATTGTTTTCAGTACAGATAATTTTCTATTTTGACCAGTTTGAAATTGTTTCTTACAGTCTTCAGATCAACACGCTTAAGGTAAGATTTAAAGGATCTTATGCTAAAGTTAGAAAGCCAGAAAAATTATGATAGTTATAGGACATTATCTGCTTTTTGCATGTTATTATTCTGTGTTCTTAAGTGCATTATTTAATTAAATAAAACAATATTTAGTGTAGTAGTACTATTAATATAAAAAATACAGGTAAATAACATATCTCTTGCTTTTCATGTGTATTATTATTATTATTATAAAAGTAACTAGGAACTTGTTAGGTTAGGTAAGGTAAGACATTGAAAAAAAATTCTTCACAAAGTATTCTCGTAAGCAGCTTCTGCATTACATACTTTGATAGGGTAACATGAGCTACATATTTGTTGGTTGATTTACAACTTGTATGACAGAATTATTAATTAAACATGTTTCAAAGGGCAATAGAATTCCAATACATTACATAACCTCCTCTCACATATAGCTTTCTCAATTCAGTGGTACTCTCTATGCAGACTTTTTTGCTTGAAACTAGCCCCCGAGGCCCCGACCTGAAATCATGTTTCATATGATGTGGTGCTGTTGCAAGCCAATGAGAATGCATCCTCTATTATTCAATCATCACTTCTTGACTTTGTATTCATTTATAAACATGTCTTTTTATGTGCTTGTGAGCTTTTGAGATATAGGTATTTTTTTCTGGAAGTATCTACTGTTGTGGAAATATTAAATTTAGATTTTCATTTTCCAAAATTTTTGCATCATCAGATTTTGTGGCCTTTAATTTCCACATTATTAATTCACAAATATAGGTAACTTTCATGTTGTCTGGTGTGGGACAACAAAACGTTGTTCATGCTGGACTTACCTCAATTTACCATTTCTTACCCTTTGTTGGTCTTTTGTTCCAAGACTTTTGTTGCTTATTTTCACATTTCCATTTCTCTTGCATCCAGACTTTACCTTTGGTTTGTTCATCCAAGTCAGGTTTATTGGTTCTGTACTCTCCCTTTTGGCCTTTCGTTGGCCGTGTGCATTGTTTTTGCTAAGTAGTGCATGCTTTTGGTCATCAGATTCATGGCTTGAAATTGCAGTTCCACCATTATATGGATGACTGGCTTCTTTTAGTTCCATCCAAACTGTACTTTTACACCCATATTCTTCTCCTCTTTTGGGAAGTGGCTTGTCTTAGCTGTTTAGATAATCCAGAGAAGTCTGTTCTCCCTCACATTCCCTCAATATCTGGTTAATTTAAATGTGTTCTTCAACTCTCATCTCAGCAGAGTACAACAGAGTTCAGCCTTTTCTACTTTGTTTGAGGGATGTAGAGCAATTGGTTTCCACTGTTTTATCTTCTCTCCCTGCATTAGAGGTTTTTTTCTTTTGGGGACTTGGGCTTTATGGAATCCCTTATCCCCTTGGCTTGTTCTCATGTTTCATTTGCAGTGGACTTTTCATGACCTATAGAACCTTTCTCAGGATACCTTGTCCTCCCCTATTCATCTTCATTTTCTCCTGCATGTCAATTTCACCTGAGGACTATACAGAACCAATACCACGGAAAGTGTTCCTCTTCCTCCCTCTTGTCTGGATCTTCATTTTTTGACAAAAGTTTCTTTGATCTAGAGATTTTGGGTTGATCATCTCAAAAGGAATTGATCCTTCATATCAATTTATTGAAACTCTTTGGAGTTCATTGACCTTTGGATCATTTTCTTATGTTTGTACTTGGCCATGTATTTCCACACATTCAACCTTTTCTTCTGGGTCCATTTCCTACAAGTACAACTCTGGTGGTTTGTCATATTCCAGGTGTCTCGAATCTTGTTGTGGATCATCTCTCGAGGCCACACAATATTTTACCCAAAGAGTGGTCCATTCATCCTCAGGTTTTCAAGTGTTTTGCTCTCATCTGGGCACTCCTCTTATAGATGCATTTGCCACTTATGACAACGCCAAACTTTTCCTTTTCTGGTCTCCTGTTCTGCATCCATCAGCTCTAGAGATGGATCCATTCAGTCAGGACTGACTATGAAAATAGAAGAAAGAATGGTGCAGTGACAAACTGCAAAACATACACCATATTGTTGATAGAAAAGGAGGGAGTAGGGATGAACAGAATGAGAAAGAATAAAGGCTCCATGTGAAGAGAGTCTGGAACACCTTGTAAGCGACTAGACAAAAACCATGAATGAAGCCAGAGTAATGACAGCTGGATGGGAGAAGGAGGAATGAAGTTGAAGAATCTCTCTCAAGGGAGAGAGCTAGAGGAAGATTGACAAAGGTTCAACATAGGAAACCACAGTTGAGCTGGCCAACACAGAGCTACAAATAGGACCAAATAAGGAGTGTTGTGTATGAGGTAGAGAACACAAGGGAGGAGACGAATAGGAGCATAAGCATAGAGAAAGAGGTCCCTTTCTGTTCTCCATCTTTCTGAATTCTTCACATGGCTCTTCAACCAACTTTTATCATTATCAACCATCACTGGTTATCAGGCAGCTCTGTCTAATACTTTCTGGTTTCTGCTGTTACTGTCATGCTTTCTTCTCCCTGGTCCTCACTGTGCTCTTCCATTCTATTCAATATCCTCATCCTTATGCTCATTGCTTCTATATTCTTCTCTATCCTGATCATATTTTTCTATTATATATTCCTATGAAATAACTAAAAAAATAAATTCTTATATCGATACCATAGAATTCCACTATAATTTATAAAGCTTAGTAAGTAAGTTATATTTGGATCTAAAAAATATGAAATTTTGAACAGACTAAATACTCAACTTACCAGCTTGAAGTCTTGTATCAAAATAACGAGTTGACGTCATAATACTTCAAAATGGTTGAGAAAGCCACTAGGGGACATCCTGAGCTTTTGACTGGTTATTCACATGTACATAAAGAAGTGTTTCCAAAAATGGAACAATGTGGATGGAACCACTGTGTGTGGTTCAGTACATGAGTGGTATCTCAGCAAATAGAAAAGATAGGAGGTTCTTATTTTATGTTCTTAATTTATTGGTAATTTGAATTCCTAATTGGTACAAAACTATAGACTTTGTATTTTGACATCACAAACATCTAATTTGAACCAGTGCTGCATTCAACATACCATGTGACACACAAAAATTTATGTTTAACTGTGTTTTTCTAATATTTATATTTAAATTAAGAAATTGAGTGAGGTATAATACTAAAATTTGAATTATAATCTACAGTTTGACA